TAATGGATAAGATCAACCGTACAGATAAGATGATCGATACTAAGTTGACCACTAAGACCATAAATGATAGATTAGCGAGGACCCACACAACTCCGCCACTGACATTAAGCGCTCATCCAAGCACAATTCCCACCTTTGTCACCACTGTGATGAGAAGAGCGAGATCTTGAGGTTGTAGGCATACTACAGATCTGGCATGACAATATGGTTAGCCAAAAAATCGACACCTGTTATTCCTCCCCTCCATCCACGAAGTCGTCGCTACCACCATAATCATTGCCATGAGATCTATAGCCCCGTCTCTAAGACAGGAGACAACCAGCCAAGGGGCGGTGCCGGAATTCGGCCCTAAAAGAGAAAAGTAAACGACACACAAAGAAAAGAAAGAATGTATAGAGAGAGATAAGGAAAAATGAAGATCCGCTTTTACTTTTAATTATACCTTATGATTTAAATTTGTTTTGCACATATCCATTATGATTTCACATATAAAAACCCAAATAAATAAAATATGATATAGTGCTAGTTAAGTGTATATTACTATTAAAGAGAAAAAATCCATAGAATAATATAAAAAATAAAAATAAAAATATAGTAAAAAATCTGAGATTTAGTATTTATAACACTATGATTTTAGTTAAAATTTTGATTTAACTCAGGCCCCGCTGAACAAAACTTTGAGAGATTCAGATTCTTTAGTCGAAAATGCTGGCTCTTTCCACATGCAAATTTCGTGGGAGTTGGAATGATTCGTGATCACTTGGGGACTATATGCTAGCTGCTTTTACTAAGAAGATAGCAGTCAATTTTGATGATTTTTTCATAAAACAATTTTGATGTTTTGGTAGTTGAAGCAATGGAAGTTTAGGAAGCAATTTTTTCGGCAATATAGTTTGGCCTATAGTTTCGATAAGTATCTATATTTATAATCTACATCTATAATCTATATATATATATATATATATATATATATCAAAGAGGGGTTGCCTCTTTGTTAATATTTGTACTTTAACCAAGAGAGAGAAGTTACCTACCTATTTACTTGCTTCTTTTAAGCTGATTGCATTTATATACATATATTTTTAAATATTTTTATAATTAAAAAATTACAAAAGTAAAAATATTTGTATTGATAACAGGAACTTGCCTCGTGCCCCTTATACTAGTAAAGATAGATGCGAGAATGTTAATTGAAGTTCTACATTAAAGTAATCCATTGGCACCAAGAATTTCACTAGTGGAGGGGATATAGTAGTTTTAATGCATTTAATTGAAATGCACTTTACATAATCAAATGTTTAACATACTATACATACCTAAGCTACAATATTAAATAATAATTTATTAAAAACCGTGAATCATTAAAAATTACTAAAACAGCATATAATTAATTAAATTCTTTAACATAGCATAATCATAAGAATTAAAATTAAATATGAAAAATCCTTAAGTTTGATTTTATTATAAAATCTCTTATACCTAGACAAAAGAACGTACCGCATTCGAACATATTTGCTTAACACAATAAAATCTTGAACAATTATTAACTTCATAAAAACTTTCTTAATGCAGATATAAAATTGCGTGATGGTATCCTATACGTCCCTTGCCTCAGACGCCTTCGCGTTCGCTGTGCCAATCCATTAGTTCGGCCAAGATACGAGTTTAATACTCAAATTACGTATAACATGAACAAACTTGAGGGAGCTTTCGCTTAGTAAGTCTAAAAATATTCTCACAAAACATGAATATTTTTACAATCAATTATGCACATCATATTATGATTTGTCATATTATTATTTTTAAATGTTATGGGCCATGTGTACGTACTGATTTACATGCGACCATTAAGGAGTCGGGGTAGTTAGCCACCAACATCGCCCAAGGTAAAAACATAACATATCCTCACCTGAGTAGAGACTGGTATGACACTAATTCAATTTTCACTTTTATTAATATTATATGTAACATGCGTGAGTTTGTGTTATATAAACATATCTCATGTGCATAAATCACCATTTAATATAACAGAGTTAAATCATGAACGTAAACATCCATTAATCGTAAGCAACAGAGTTTATATTTAAACTTGACCAACCAAGCATAGCATTCATACATAAACCTATCATAAAACATTCACTTGTATTTTCAATCACTATTTAAAAATATAATTTTATGTTGTAGGTGAAGTTTGTATTTATCTAGATTCTGAACTAAGGGTGTGTTTGGTAGATAGATCTAAAATTATGATTCTGAATTCTGGTTCAGAATCAGTGTTTAAAGTGATTCTGAATCATGATTCTAAATCATGATTCAGAATCAGTATTTTGTTTGGATGATTCTGAATCATGATTCAGAATCTGATGTGATGTTTTAAACTAGCTCAAATTATAATTCTAAAACCATCTCCCTCTTGATTCAAGGTGATTCAAACCCCTGATTCTGAATCATGGTTTCAAAATCATGATTTGAACTCAAAATCATGAATCATGATTCTGATTTAGAATTATGATTAAAATCATCCTAATTTGAATTCTCATACCAAATGAATCCTAAGTGGTTCAAATAGTACCTCGGTCATCATGTTCTATTTCCTCGTAACTAGTTCTGGAGGATCTATAAGCGTTTAGAAATGATTTATGGCAACCATCAAAGCCTTGGATAGCTCGTTTTGAACTTCAAAGAATCTGTTTGATCTGCCTCGATGCGCGTGAAATCAATAGCGGATCATTTTAATGGAGTTGAATTTGACCAAACAAGCGCACAATTGCACTCACAATGTCAAAATGTGTCAAGAGTTAGGTCTTAGATCGTCAATCAACCATTGGAAACACGAAAAACTGACACTCGCTAGAACACGATAACCGGCGGCGGCAGCGCTGGTGGGAGGCAGATTTGGTGGCTAAACCCCCTCCCCTAATTTTTAACCCTCCGCAGTTCAATGGTGGGTTTCATCTAATTCAGCCTCTAACGACTCGGATCGAACTCGTCAACTTCGGCAAAATCCGGTGACTTGGATATTGATTCTCTGGTGATAGAACAAAATTAGTTGAGGGCTTGTCTCCCAAACTCGTCTGACTGATTTGACACCAACGACACACATTTTGGTCGTCGAGAAGGTGGAAATCGGAGAGGAGGCACGGCGGTCAAATATTGCAGCTCTGGCGATGACGTTTTGACGAGAATTGACAGGTAATGTGGGATGAGTTTTGTTCGTCTCGTTGCTCTGAGTCCATAGGGATTGGAATCACCTCGACCGGAGGTCGGACATTGAAGTTACGATTATTTAAAGTTGGGTTGTTTTTCAAACTTTTCACCGGCGATTGCAGCGGTTTCCGGCCACGGTAGATGCTGCAAAGTGTGTTGACAAACTCAACTCATTAAGAGGTTTTTAATGATGTAGGAGGTGTTAGAAAGTGATGCAAGAATCTCATCGTAGGTTGGCCGGCCGTACTTGGAGAAGAAAAACGAGAGAGAGAGAACGTGGGAGAGAGTGAGGTGGAGTGAGAAAATTTGAGTAATTTTCATTGGTTGATTTTTTATTTTTTTTGTGTGTGTTTACATAACATTATTTAGGGCTTGTTCAGTTGCAATTTTAAAGTATAGTAATTTGAGTTTAGATCTTAAGTTGAATTTGAATTATAACTTGAGTTGAAGTTGTAATTTGAGTTTGTGTTTGGATGTGCACATTTGAGTTATAGTTTGAATTGAGAATCTATTTGAGTTTATGTTTTGGTGTTGAAACTTAAATTTGTATTTAGATAGTATTTTAATAAAAACTCAATGGTGATGGAAATTTTTAATAGGGTATATAGGTGACGTTTTATTCGTCTCTTGATTGTGAATACATAGAAAAAAATCATCTCAATCGAAATTAAAATGAAAAAGTTATGGCATTTTTAAGAATAGAAAAAATACTGCTCATTAATTTGAGTTTGAGTTTAGGAACTTAAGTTGAAGGGGGAACTTGAACTCAGATTTTAACCCCAAACTCAAGTTAAAGCTCAAGTTAAAACTCAAGTTTAAACTTGAATTTTACAAAAAAAAAAAAAAAAACATGAACTTGAATAAAGTTATAACTTGAGTTCAAACTTTTTTTGAGTTTTAATCTAAAAGAACACGCCCTTAATTGTCCATAAAATTTTTCATACAGTTCAGTTTTCACAATTTTGAACGGTAAATAATAATAATTAACAAAGGAGGGACAGACTCTTCTACTATGGCGGTTTCAGGAATATAAGAATATTCTACTAGGTTTTCTATCTAAGAGGAGAGGGATGTTTTACAGGAACTAGGAATAGTAATTGACGAGGATAATCTGGCTAGTTTTAAGGACTGAGTAGGTTTCTGGGTAGGAGTATCCATGGTGTGTGGGGTTTCCCCTCTGACTCTTCTTCCTTCCTATTCCCTTATATCACAATCTTCTCCCTCTTCACAGGACTCCTATGCAGGATCCTCTATTAGAGGCAAGCACAGAGCATACTAGTCAGGAGGAGAACAATTATGATATAAGGAAGGGAACTTAGAATTTCATAGAGGAAAGCAAAGGAATTTAGAAACTCATATTTTTATTGCTGAGAAAACTGTTTACAAAGTTCTCCTGGTTGGAGGACTTTTGATTTTTCCATAAAGGACTAGGGTGTTCCTCATCAATTACTATTCCTAGTTCCTGTAAAAGATCCTCTCCTCTAAGATAGAAAACCTAGTAGAATATTCTTATATTCCTGAAACAGCCATAGTAGAAGAGTCTATCCCTCCTTTTTTAAGTCCGTACAATGTCTTCAAAAGACATTAACGTACTATTCGACAACTCATCTCTAATACCAAACCCATCGTCAAAGAATATGTTCAGTCCTCTAGGCTTGATAAGTGTCTTGTCCCCAGTACCTCTCAAGAACAATATATTGATCTTGAAATCCCAAAAGAACTTATCACCTAATGGCTTGCTGAAGGTCATACTCACCTCCATTTTGGGGCAATAAGACTTGTCCTAGCCCTCCATGGCAGAAAAGGTTTACCAGTCACTGTTCGTCTGGCACTCCTAGATACCAGATACACTAGATACGAATATGTAGTAATAGGAACCACACTTTTCACACTCCATGCTGGTAGTGTCCTACTAACCTTTTTCCTAAACTTCAATATTCCATTGAAAGATCCACATTGTCCACGTGTCTCAAAGTCCAACTCCAAATCACCGGTGCAGAGCAAGTTCCGTCTTCGTATATAGCTACACTCCACCATCAGCTCATCTACAAATTGCAAAATCGTGCACTTGATCGCTCTATTTTGGGCCATACTCCAGACACATTGCTTATCACAGCAGAAAGAGAAAATGAGATCCTAACTATTGTGCAGATCCCCAAGCAACTCCCTCGAGATGAGATCACAAAGCTCATGCCTCTGGAATGGTTCACCAACTATGAAAAGTTACACCAGAACCATAAGCCTATCCATACAGCTGATCCAAATTTCATCAGATTTCAAGATGGACAGGTGAAAACCGTCTTCAAACTTCCTGATGAAAGTTCCAGCACAACTCCGTCCATGATGATCAGACTAGTCACCTCAGAAGAAGAAATTCATATTGCTTACTTTTCAACAGATGGATCTAAGATCTTTACAAACAAGATCAATGGTCACTTTGTGTGGGATACTGATCCCTCCATGTGTGATCTAGACTGTGACTATTGGATGGACCTCGAGGATGAAGAAGATGATCGTCCGAGTAGCAGAAGGAGAAAAAATAAAGGTGTTTGCACACCCCAACCTCATACGACAAGAAGACAATATCATCCAGATGACCCGGATAGTCCCTGGGTTTTCAAGAAAAGCCCTGAGAATTCATCCGCTCCAAAGACTGCACCATGTATGATGTTCTCATCATATGATCAAGACTCCCAGCTCTTGAAAGATATATAGACTAGACAACCAAGGTGGTCTCCATACCATATGTGCAGTCAACAGAAATACAACCAGATGGAAGGACAAAACCTCCAACTCGGGCAGAAGAAGTTCTAAACTGGCAGACTCAAAATGCCAGAGCACAGAATCAAGTCCTGCGGAAGATCGAAACAAAAGTTGATAAGGTCATAGCCCAGGCTAGCCTTGCTGATAAAAAGCTTGATAGCCTCAGTGAGGATGTGTAAAGGATATATGAGAATCTCCAGTCAAGAATCAGACGCTTAGATTCTGACATGAGAAGCCTCATTAATCAGAGTTACTTTAGTCCAAAATTTGATAGAAAAGAAACAGAGATCCAAAAACTAACATCGATGTACTATTCCACAACTCATTTCTAATACTAGACCCACCGTTAAAGAATACGTTCAGTCCTCTAGGCTTAATAAGTGTCTTGTCCGCAGTACCTCTCAAGAACAATATGTTGATATTGAAATTCCAAAAGAACTTATCACCCAATGGCTTGCTGAAGGTCATACTCACCTCCATTTTGGGGCAATAAGACTTGTCCTAGCCCTCCATGGCAGAAAAGGTTTACCAGTCACTGTTCGTCTGGCACTCCTAGATACCAGATACACTACATACGAATATGCAGTAATAGGAACCACACTTTCCACACTCCATGCTGGTAGTGTCCTATTAACCTTTTTCCCAAACTTCAATATTCCATTGAAAGATCCACACTTGTCCACGTGTCTCAAAGTTCAACTCTAAATCACCGGTGTGGAGCAATTTCCTGTAAAACTAGACCATCATTTCCCACCAGGTCTAGATACTACAGCTCAACCTCACAAGATCAAGCACTATACAAGAACTCATCTATTTTACTATCTAATAAGAGTTTGTATTAAGACCACAAACCCTCAAGCACATGACCTATAGAATGTGGACCAACCATATCTTGCCATTGAAGATATCCCAAGGAAAGTTTCAACCTGGCCCACATATAGCACGCGAGTTATTGAAGTTTCCAGATAAGAATCTCATTGTCAAGCAAATCCAACAGTTCTTGGGAATAGTCGGTAATTCAAGCCCTACTCTACCATTCCAAAACTGTTCCCAATCAAGGAAGCTCCGACTAGCTATGGAGAAATCAAAGATAATCGTCTGAAATGATGTGTTGATAGCCACGATCAGTTTCAACACCCCAGTCCTTTGAGGAAAAATAAGAAGTTCTTCATCCAGCTGCCCTTCAAAAAGAATGAAGACATCAATCCAACCAAGGTCACTCATCCAGGAATGACTCCATCAGATCTAGCCACAGACCATAAACAACGGGGAACTTGTGCACCATATAGCCACTACATCCTCTTGACTTTTGGCTTTTAGTGCCACAGATGCTTATTATTCATGGTCATGGAGATCGTAGCAAGGATCTTAGACTTAAATTTTCTGATGTGTAGGATCATCTATTAGAGGCAAGCATATAGCATACTAGTCAGGAGGAGAACAATTATGATATAAGGAAGGGAACTTAGAATTTCAGAGAGGAAAACAAAGGAATTTAGAAACTTATATTTTTATTGCTGAGCAAACTCTTTACAAAGTTCTCTTGGTTGGAGGACTTCTGCCTAAACCAGATAATTGCCTTGTCTTATATAGCTGAGGCTGGAAATAAAGACTCCTGGTCTTATCCAACCAGATAAGACTCTACACTACTTTACTTTAGACTTATGTTATCAAAAACAAAAGACTTTTGACAAAGCAGATTCTTTACTATTCTGCTTGTGACTAATTTTACAAAGGACAAAACCATTTTTGATAAAGTGGCAGACATACTACTGTTAAACTTTTTGACTAAGCATACAAAACAAAAGACTTTTTAACATGATAAGATCTTCGGATAAGATCTTAAGAGTTTTGTACAAAGAAGACAGCTGGGCGCTCCTTTCAAGGTTAATGGGACTCATTGTAGAAAGAGCTATAATCTGATAATGATGAGTCAGAGTTCATTGAACCATGCTCATACGGATGGTCATGTGGGTACCACTGTCTATGTCTTTTTGGTGGTGAATGGTATTCTAGGTCGTCTGGGTGCTGAGAATCCTAGAACAGTGTTGGGTCGTAATCATGCTGACCCTCTGAGTCTTGTTGTGATGGTGGTGGCACAATAGATAATGATGGTGCTGCAGTAGATGCTATAGCAATATCTTCTCCGAAGTATCAATTATTGCTGACAGTGAAGATGTTGTATGGTCCATAGATCTCAGTAGGTGGAGCTATCACAGAACTGACAGATGGTTGTAAAGGAGGCTTTGGCTGGTGTCCATTTTCTCTACACAAGACTTTAATGAGGTGATTTATGATGTCTATGAGTGACTGGGGATAGGCAAAGCCAGTATACCTGGCGTATACTTCATGTTGTGTGTATAGCCCATGTGTCTCTGAGTTGAGTAGGTATGGATGATGTAGGAAGAAGATGGTGTGTACCGGTGGAATATCTGCTGGGGAGAAATTCCAAACTTTGTATCACTGGAGAAGTCTTGAGACTTCCATTCTCCACCACATAAGTAGGTTGAACATTTGCAGGAGTTGCCAAAGAGTTGATCTTTCATTGCTGGGATCATTGAGGTGCATGTGAAGCTACATGAGTGGACAGTTTAAGGTGATTTTGTATAGAGCTGTTTGGCACCAGAGGTACCAAACGTCATCTTTGGTGATTTCACCTAAAGGACGAAGATGGTAAAGAGCAAGGTATGGTTGGTCTGTGTTGTATAGGAACTTAGCTTGTGGGTTATTGGTTTTGTTACAGACCCTGGTTAGGTTATAGAACAGATGGTGTTTATCATAGTACTGGATCTGGTCAGGTGTGGCTATACTAGCTAGACCGGGAGGAAAATGATGGTCTGGTTTTATAGGAAAACACAATGGTGTGTGCACTTTGGTCTTTATGACTATGAGATGGAAAGTTTTACAGGGAGTGATGACTTGGACTAGCTTTGGTCGAGTGAGGAAGTCAGGGATAAGGTTGTGATGGCCTTTTATATGCTTGATAGAAAAGTCATATCTTGCAAACCAATCCTTAAGTCTAAGTAATTGCGGATCAGGAAGAGTTTTATTTTTAAAATTAAGGACCTTTGGAAATGATGAATTATCCATCCGGACCTCAAAATTGTAACCTCTAAGATGGAAATCAAATTTTTGAATTCCATACTTTACTGTAAGAATCTCCTTGTAGATGGTGTGATAGTGCTTTTCTGATTCTTTGAACTGGCCACTGGCATGTCCACAGTTGTACTTATTGTCCTTTTCTTCTTCGATGAGAAGGGCCCCCAGTAGTGGTTACTTGCGTCTGTCTGTAGGACTCTTTTCCCTGTGCTTGGAATCTTTAATGGTGGAGGTGACTGTGCTACTTTTTTCAAAGCAATGATAGCGACTGTCTGCTCTGTCCCCCACTGAAAGGGATTCTTTTTCAACATTTTTGACAGCTGGCTGGTATGTTCAGTCACATGTGGAATAAAGTTTCTGAGATAATTGACTATTTTCAAGATCTGTTGGATTTGCTTGATAGTGAGATTTTTATCTGGAAACGTCAATAACTCACGTGCTATGTGTGGGCCAGGTTGAAACTTTCCTTGGGATATTTGCATCCCTAGGAATTCCACTTGGTTTTGTCCTATTTGGCTTTTATTTTCAGAGAGCATGATACCATGTTGATCCACGATTTGATGGAACTGGGCCAGTAAGACTTTATGGGCTTTTTCTTCCTTTGAGAACATAAGGATGTCATCTATGTAGATCAAAGCATCTGTACAGAATGGGCTCAAAGATTTGGGCCATTGTTGGCTAGAATAGTGACGGGGCCATCTTGAGTCCAAATGGCTGGTCACGCCATTGGTACTGTGCGTCTGGAATGCAGAAGGCTGTCTTGGGCCTATCCTTTGTGTCAATTGCCAATTGCCAGAAAGCTCCTTTGAGATCAAACTTTGAGAAGACTTGGGTTTCCTTTAGATGAGTGAACAGGGAGCTGGTTCTTGGAATAGGGAACTTATCATCCTTTAGGAATAGGTTCAAAGGCTTATAATCAATCACGAGCCTTTTCTTTCCACGGACCTGTTCTGATCTTTTTTCTACATAGAAGGCTTGGCAAGCCCAATCTGATTTTGTGGGCTCGATCAATCCTTGCTTGAGAAGTTGGGCACATTCTTATCGTGCTAAGGCCAGATCTGATGGAGTCATTCTTGGATGAGTGGCCTTGGTTGGATTGATGTCTTCATTCTTTTTGAAGGGCAGCTGGATGAAGAACTTCTGATTTTTCCATAAAGGACTGGGGTGTTGAAACTGATCGTGAAATGAAGTGTTGTTCCTTGAAAAAAAAAGGAAATCGAGTTTCATTATCAAAGGATGTCGCGGCGGTATTATATGCTGAATGGATTCAATGATCCTAACCTCTGACAAGTGTACATGTCATCACTACCGCAGGAATTACAGCCAGAACTTTAGAGATCCCTCCTTGCCACAAAGAAAGAAATAAAGGGCATTTCCATTGGAGATAAGAAGTTAGAGATGAGATTGTGGTGGCCTTTTATATGTTTGACAAAAAATTCATATATGGCAAACCAATCTTTAAGTCTGAGTAATTACGGGTCGGGTAGAGTTTTGTTTTTAAAATCAAGGACCTTTGGCCACTGACATGTCCACAGTAGTGCTTCTTGTCCTTATCTTCTTCGATGATGACGGCCCCCCAGTAGTGATCACTTGCATCTATCTGCAAGACTCTTTTCCCTATGCTTGGAATCTTCAATGGTGGTGGTGACTGTGCTATCTTTTTTAAAGCAATGACAGCGGCTGTCTGTTCTGTCCCCCACTGAGAGGGATTCTTTTTCAGCATCTTTGACAGCTGACTGGTATGTTCAGTCACGCGTGGAACATTGTTCCATATTATAGACCAGGATGTGGTAGTCTATGTCTTCTTCCTCAGAGTCGGGATCATCATAATCTAGATCAACATCTTGCTCAGA